TGGGTGAGTGGCGGTGGTTCGATAAAGCCTCATGGCACTCTGTAGCCTCCGCGTGTTCATGGGAAAGCTCTTACAGTAGGTGGAGTGTATGCCAAATTGGCATTTGATGGAATTGGTTCGTACTCCAAAGGGAACTCTGAAGGCCGGCTGGTCAAGAGGGAACCTCTATCAACACAAGTGTTTTTTGGATGCTTTTGGGGTTCTTGAAGTGAACCTTCAGAGGTGTGACAGGCCGATGCAAAAGCGGCTTGAGTCGCAGTAACCAAAGGGCTCCATATTTTCGGTTCCTGGAAACACCCAACCCGTAACCCCAACCCGTAACCAGTGTTCTATCCGTTATGCAGTCCGGAGAGTCGGCTGGTTACTTCACCAAACCCATCCAACCCCAGTACCCAAAGACTGCCCGCCCAAAGTCAAGTACCCCAAGTGTCAAACAGCCATGAGGACCCCAACCATGAGAAGGACTTGGTGCATCAGACGTTCTCCCGTTCGCATGCCGAGCCATCACAGACTGAGCCAACCGGGCAAGTTTGGCTGCTCGGGAGGGGGCGCCTGAGGAGGTTGACATGGGAGGTGAACAGTCGGTGCCGCAGTCGGTCGCAGGAAGGTTTTCTCTCTAAAATCAAGGACCCACCCCCCAGTCAGGGGGGCCAAAAAAAACATTTGATAGGAGGGGTTGACAACTGTAATTTCATAGAGGATATTGACATGGAGGTCTTCCAAAAAACCCTGTCTGCACTGCAGCCTTCTGTGTTAGCTTGGGGGAGGACGCCGGTATGCCTGGTATGCCTTGTTGGAGGGACACACACACACAGACTTGAGATGAGTGCTCCGTGGAGCTTGGCTTCAGGCTATTCGCGGTGGGCATTAGCACTTTGGTGTTGCTGCAGTTTAGACCTTGACTAAAAGAAACTGCGGAGTCGGTCGAACAGAATGTTTGAACAGTGCATCAAACGGTTATTGAAAAAACTGGTGCAGGTACAGGAATGTGCGTCCACATTCCCTTCCGGCTGAATCCCATAGCTTCGTTGGCATGGCTAGGGAAACAGCTGCCATGCCCCCTGCTGCTGCTGTACAAGGTGCAACTCAGCGAAATAGAGTAGAGTAGGTTGGTGCCCCTTGGAACGGGGGTTGACACACTTATGGATATGCGTACTGACTTGACAGCGGTGCCACACGCCAGCCTAAGTGAAAAACCTAAGGGTCCAGGTAGGAAGTTAGTCATAGGCCTCCAAACCCTAAAAGAGCACGAAAACGAGCGGCGGCGACAGGGTGACGACGGATCGCGCAAGTCAACGGAGCTCAAAAGGTCCCAACCCTCCAAGATGAGTCGCCGCTGCATTAGCCGCGTACTGCACAACAAAGAATGAGACAGCTTTCGCCATACTTAGGTTCTCAACAGCAGGTACACCAGGTTGATCAGACCTGGCTTCCCAGATGCAGGGGAGGCGTGAAACTAAGGTGAGGGCCAATGTGCACGTGTGCGCGCACAAGAGACAAAAGAGTGAAGACATGACAAGAGGACGAGACGGGACAAAGGTGCGTGTGGTGGAAATGAAAGGGGAACCAAGTGCACAGGGACACCCGATGAAGCCCACCTCATTGTAAAGACCTGGGCGGCCTGAAACCTGTGTTTAAAGGTATGTAGAAGTGCACGTGCACACTAAGGCCGGGACCAATGTGCGCGCAAACGAAGAAAAGGATGAGATGACCAGACATGAAGACAGGAGGACATGAAAGAAAAGAGGAAGCAAAAGTATGTGAAGGGGAAGGGATGAAAGGGGGAACCAAATGGAGGGGACCGAAACCGATGATGCCAAACCTCATTACAACGACCTAGGAAAACCTGCCTCGTTTGAATGTACACGCTGTGTGTGCACCCAAGGTCTCGACAGGTTCCAATAAACCTTGAACAAACTTCGGCCGCTGCGGCCACGTACGCCATGCCAATATGGCTGGCTGCTTTGACCGCTGCGGTCACGTAAGGGCATAAGCCAACTTGGAATTCCGAAAATGAGGCAAATTTGAATTCTCTCGGCCTAGGCCACCTCCGCCCGCTGTGGGCGCGTACGTTTCCAAAGCAAGGGAAACATTGACAGACACCCGTTCGAGGGGCCCACGGGAGGCACTCTACGGGCTCATCCCGGACGGCTATAGGCCGGAACATATCTGACTGGGTCTTCACCCCTTCGTTAGCAGAAGAGTGACCACCAGCCCCATTGCGACTGGTAGCTGGCGGCTGTGCTCTGCGAGTACCTCGAAAGTAACAGTGAGAATCCTTCTTGGTCGAATTCGTGCCGTCCTTGCACTTGAGCGAACCTAAAGCTCTTTCCCGTGGGGTGCCTTCTGGCAGCAGCCCTCGGTCCACCCAGCAATGGCACGTTGGGTTCTGGCACGACTCTTTTACCTTTCTTGGGGAGGCTGAATCTCACTTTCTTTCGGGTTCCGCCGACTTTGGTGGCCTCCAAATAGACCTTTGCCGATCCTCCTGGGAGCCTTCTGATGGCCAAAGCCACGGCTAGTATACTGTCAAAAATCATTCCCGAAGCCTGATCGAGACCCCACTCGGCTTCAAGGGCGTCTCCAGGACTCCTCTTCAGTCTCCCCTCGGCAGTCTGGTGCGCAATGGCGTGATTGCGGTCACGCTCCGCGTCGTCTTTGGTATGCCCTTGTCCCTCACGCTTCCGCTGCTTCTTGATCTTCTTACGGCTGGCGGTGTCTGGCGCCCGCTTGTTCCAATTGCCCTCTCGTCGAGCCTCATTCTTGAGGTCTGCTCTGAAGGCTCGAAGGTCTTTTTGGGCTGCATCATGAAGCGCTTTGTCCAACACCTTGCCGGCTTCTGCAGGGTCAACGTCCAACAAGGGCCCTGTTCCTGGTCCCTTTTCGGCTCGACTCCAGGTGTTGACCTCCTGTCGGTGCTGAGCTGCTCTTTCTCGTGCCCTTTGGGCTCTTCTGGCAACCCAGACGGATCTCCCCGCCTCAATCTCTTGTTTCAGTCGGTGATCAGAAACAAGCGGAACCCCAGTCCTTGGACCGACGGGGTTCGCGAGCTCAAGTCGTAACATCTGATCATTGAGGCCTGCCCGGTAGTCGGTTTCTGCTTCAGTGTAATGCTTGCGTGACCCTTTGGGCTCGCTCTTCGGCTTTGGCTTCGGCCGTCTTGCTCTTGAGCCTTGCCTCGGCCAACTGGTTGAGACGCTCCACGAACTCCGACTTGACCTGGGAAGCGGCTGGGGCTTGCTGGATGGCTTCTTGCTTTGAGAAGATGCAGGTGCACATCCCCGAACTTGACCTTTCGCCTTCGAGGCCTGGGTAAGTCTTCTTCGGTGATCATTTCTTGATCCTTAGGTGGAAGGGATTCGATTCCCTTGGCATCTCCAGGGGGCGGTGGCGCGTTGGGTACACCCTCTGCTGCTGGTGCTCCTCCTGGGGTCTCTGTTGCACTGGGGACGTCGACACTCTCTTCAACCTTCATGGGTATCACTTCTTCGCTCTTTGGAAGAGCTGCGGTCGTTTCGGCTTTGGGCTGAGCCAACTCAGCCGTTCCTGCGTCGGGGTCTTCGGTCAGCCCTTCAGCCTTCTCTGGGTTAGGTTCTACAAGTTCTGTAGACGCTCCAGCTGGGATGGCCTGGGCGCTCGCTGCGAGCTGCTCTGTATCCGGGCAATGGATACGTTCGACGTACACCCGTTCAACGGGTCCACGGGAGGCACTCTGCGGGCTCATCCCGGGTTGGCACGAGGCCAAACACACTTGAGATATTGTGTACGGAACTGAATGCGGTGCCACTCGCCAGCCTAAGAGACCCAAATCCTGAAAAACCAGGTGAGGAAACCTAGAAAGGAAATAGAGGACCTAGAAGGAAGTAGAGTACCATCAGCTCACTCGCCAGCCTAAGAGACCCAAATCCTGAAAAACCAGGTGAGGAAACCTAGAAATGAAAAAGAGGGCCTAGAGGGAAGTAGAGTTCCATCAGCTCCAAAAGAAAAGCGCCGAGCGAGCGATCGACCAAGTGACGACGTGCGTGCAGAAAACCAAGCTCACAGTCTGAGGTGAAGCACCGCTGCATTAGACGCTTACTGCTAAACACAGCATTGGAACAGCTTGTCCATTACTTAGGTTCATTTCAAAGCAGGTACGTAGCTCCAGCGTCCCGGAGCTATATCACAGATGCAGCACTGGCGTCTTCGTTGGTGCCAGTCCAGTGTGCATCCCTGGCACCCCCTGCTGTAAAATAAACAAATGCAAAAGCATCCCTATGACTCCAAGGGTGACACACACACACACACACACACACATCCGCCACTACAGTCGCTGGGTGCCAGTTGGCATCTTCCTGCTGGGGTCCGTACACTAGCGGCTGCCTCCTCATAGCCATAGAGGGCTTGCTGTGACGCGGGCTGAGACATGGCGAAGAAAAAACACCTTCGAGATGGGGCAAAGAAGATGTTCACTGATTTACTTTCTTCAGTTGACAGATTCCAAGTGAGTTGATCCATCCATTTCACTGGAAAGAGAGGGGTTGACCTCTCTTCAGTTGACAAATTCGCATGAAAGTGCCTTGACTTGTTGAGAGTTGGCATGTTGATGGTATTGAAATCCAAGAGTAACGGTGCCAACTTCCGGCACTCAACGCGATGGTTTGAATCTCTTGCATCAACGGAGTTGCCAGCTCTCTATGCGCCAGGCTCTGGGTGAGTTGCCAGGCTCTGATGAGCACTCAGCAAATGTCATGATTCAATGATTTTCAATGGCACCGGTTCAGGTTGCCCTTTTTGTCTCACTCCGTTTCAGCTCACTCAAAGACCAAGGAATTATGTTGTTGGTGAAGATGGCAACTTGAAGGATCTTTGACACCTGACCTTTCGATGTCCTCCGTCTAACTTTCATTGGCCGACACTTATCACAAGGGGCTGTTCTTCCATCACCGTCAAGCACCCACCCTGCCTATGATACTATATAGCTTGTCCTAGTGAAGGAAATGTTAAATAATCATCCTCTTGCAAAAGGCATCACTAGCATCATGGATCTTGTGTTTGCAACCAACATAGGCAACAAATATCACAGAAAACGTGTTGTTTTCTTCAAAAAAACCTACTTGATTGTACCCTTGTCATCTTTGACAATGGTTTTGCACAAACTCTCCAAACAGATCTACCAGCCCAACAAAGACACCGGAGGCAGTGCATGATTTTTCTCAGGTCTTTTTTCGCCAGAGCTCTTGCAAGCGCCAATCGCAGATCCAGATCGACGCGAAGCCGGCCTGTTTGCCATGCCGAGCAGAGAGCATTCGTGAAAGCAGCCAGGGCCATCCAGTGTTGCTCGCCGGAAGGGGAAGAATGTGAGTTTAGTTGATGCGTGAATGAGCTTTCATGAGTTTTGATCTGTGACTGCAGTTGTCATGTCTTTCGTTGTATCTTCCTCCTGTTTCCAAACGTCTCTCCTCTGTGTCTGTCTTAAGGCTGCGACCCTCAACAGCAAGAGCAACGTTTCCAAGCACCTCAGCCGTGACGCCCAGCGTTCGCAGGCTGCAGCGTTTAACCACGCCCTCACTCCGCACGCCCGCGCTGGGGAAACCGGAGGGGAAGCGCAGGGAGACGAAGACCCAGGAAGCACGGCAGTTGGCCCGTGCTGAGCGACGTTCCAAGCGATGAACCGGTTGAATTCGACGATTTGGGTCCTGGGCACCCAGTCCAACGGAGCTCTTTTGAGCTTGCACACGACCTTGAACCCAAAAACACGACGACCTTTTATGCAAACAAGCAGGGACCATGGACCTCCGAGAAAGAGTGCTTGAGTACTAGATATAAACCCACAAATAGATAGAACACCTTTTGATCCCCGAAAGAATGTGTTGGACACTTTCTCTATCTATTTGGGGACCACTACTTACTTCTATCGCGGTCGGAGCTCATCAGCCCAGCATCCACCACGCTGAGGTCTCCACCCTCCAATCACCGCAGCAAAGGGCGACAAACACCTGTGTTTCAGAAAACGGAGGTTGGCACCAAACCCCAGTGCCCAGGCAAGGTTGAGGTTGAGTGGCAACAGGCGGCTTGGAGACAGGGCCTTGCAAAGGGCCTTCTTCTACCCAAACGGTTCTCTCCCTGGGATCGTATTTTTGGATGGTTATATATATATATATAGGTATGATGATAATTGGACGTTTGATTAATAAAGCCCCGCATGTGAAGATGGAACTTGGTCCGGCATGATCTTTGGTGGGACATGCCTTCATATTCGTGTGGGAAGCAACATAGCTTTTTACACAACCCACCCACCGACCAGCTATCTGACCTCCAAATGGGCCTTCCAACCCCACACCTGTCGAGGGCCGTCAGGAGCATGCCAGCCATGAGGGCCAGGAGCAGTCTGACCTTCGGGCGAAACCGCCGTGCCACGGGCGTGTCTGGCCTCCCTTTTCCTCGACACCTGTCTGGCAGGCAGCAGAGTGGTAGTAAAGAGTCCCAAAACCCACTCAAATCGGTACAGCTACTGTAGGTGTCGCTGTTTCTGTAAAGAACAGAAGACCTGGACAACAATGTGAGCAAAACTATCATTCTGTCGTGGAAATTCCATCTTGAAACGCAAAACAATACGAATGGAACCCACACAACCTCGTGCTTCTTTGTTCGCCGAACACAGGGACCGCCCAAGCTCACGGCTCGTCTTGGGCCAAACCACGGCGCTCCTGGAAGATGGGAACGTCGAACGGAGGAGTTCAATTTACTTAATCTAGTGTTGTATTGCTTTAAAATAGGGAGACCTCCCAAAGATCCCTGGAAGAAGGGAAGCAGATTAAAACCCATTGGTTTGGGGCCCTCTTTGTAAAAACACACATCAATACACACCCCATATCACCCCATTGCCTTTCGATTGAAGAACTCGTGCCACCGGCACCTCCACGCGAGTTACAGACCGACCCACCTCGCGGGTTGGGAGGGACCCGGTTGGTAGGGCGGTTATCCGCATCTGGGCAGTTGATTAAGGTGAGGAGTGGGCACTGAAAACGGAATCAACTAGCTGTGGACAGTTGTTCGCTTTGCAGATCGGACCAGGCTGTTTGGGATCTGACCATGTGGATATGGGCAGGCAGTTCTTCGCTTTGCGGACAGATCGGTGTTTTGTCGTCGTGCACGTCGGTGTTCGCATCAACCAGACTCTCTTCGGTTCGTGTCCGGTCAAACGGGACGTCTCCTGGCAGGCAAGACGACTTGTGTTCACGGTTAAAACAACAACAATCACACGGCCCAAGGCTTGTAAAACAGCTATTGCTTTGGTTGGAGAGTTGCTTGGTCTAGCGGCTAGCTTTCGTGAACGAAGCATTTCCCGGTTCATTCCTTCCGGGCCCTCCCAGCCACCCAATCGAGATCCGTCCTGGCAGTGCTGGCAGTAAAATGATGGCTGGAAAGCACCTGCTGGGAACCTCCTTCATTGGGCCATCCTCAGCGACGATTGCGAGAAGTTGGCTGCAGCAGTGCCACGCAACGAACGCAACGCCCAGAAGGACAACCAGAACCAACCAGGAGGGGGAGTTGGCTCTGAAGCTGCTCCTACGTAGAGCATAAGTTATTGGTCAAGCCGGACATTTTCCAGCGAAATCCGAAACTGTCTCACCATGTCCTCGAAGAACAACACCAAAGCTGCTGATGACTCACATGGCAATCTGTCTTTTCAATGCTAAATTCATGAAGTTTGCCTTGAAAAGACAGCACCGCTTCGAACTAGAACAAACCGCATCAAACCACAGTAAGCTGAAGCATCGGTTCTCCGCATGCCGCCACAGGCGCTCCAGAGATGCCGCGGAGCTTCACGCCCGCCGCGCTGCGTTGCAGCAGCCGCTCGGCTCCGAGCACCTGATGTTGGTGGGTGGAGGGGAGGGGAGAGGGATGGAATGGATGGAAATGGAGACAAAACTGATTCAAGATGAACTTCCAGTGCTCTTGGAAGAGTCTTCCAACAGGTCTTTGGGAGAAGAAAAAGCATTGAATGCACTTACAGTTCCGCTTGTACTTTCAATGAACCCGTGCGCCCACTCACACTTTTCTGAGGAGTCAGCGGGGCAGGAGCCCAGTAGAAGCCACCCCTGGGCGATGATGAGAGGCCCAAGGATCTGATTCTCTCCTGTGGGTATCAAATCACCTTAATGATCATCTCATTAGGTACCATCCGGTTTGCACCTATTACATTAGGTACCATTAGGTGTGGGTACCATCCGAAAAGTGGATGATCCTCCTGGTTTGTCTGAGGATCATCAGTATTTTCACCACCTCCTTAGGCCATCCGGCCACTGATCCACTTGCAAAGGGACTCGCCTGGTGCAAAATGATACACCTGGTCATCCTGCCCACCCTGCCCTCCTCCATCTCCCCCTACCCTGGGCCAACCCAGCTGATCCGGACATCCACTTTGGGAGCTGCAAGCTCACGCTGAACTTGGCTTGGACAAAGGCGGACCGCGACGAACGCTGGATGAAAGGCTGGGCAAGGGTTCCAATGGGCAGAGTCTGAAGGGAACGAAGGATATCTGATGTGGGCACAAGTCTTCCAACAACCAACGTCCTCTGAATAACGTGCCTGCAACTATAAAGTCACCTCGATTTCAATACTCGTCGAAATATCTTAAGGGAGTGAAACTGTGTCTTGGCTGCCGGCATGTGCAAGTGCCCAAACGAGGCTACCTGGCACCAGTGTCATTGGCCCACCACGCTTGAAAGTTGCACAGATCTCCCTCTAGCGGGTCGGATTGTCTGGTTCTCTCTCAATCTAGCCGGTTCTGCACTGAAGCAAGCAGCATAGTGTCCAGATGACGATGGACTTGACCTCGTGTTCTTTGGGTCTAGATTGAGGTAGAGGGGACTCATCATAGGCTGCCAAGGAATTGATCGTCCCACCCCACTAAAGCGCACTCATCTTCCGTTTCTCATGTCTTTTCTCCAAAAAGCAACCGAAAAAAAGAAATAAAGACTCCAACCTGGGAAACAACAACGTCTTCACGGAAGACCATCCATCACCGTCCGCAACTGATCGGATGTCATGTTGGCACCCTTGCACACTTATATAAGTAGTGGATGGAGTGGAAGTCCCCCGTCCCTGGTACCCATTCATTCGACAGCGCCGGTTCCTGAGCTCACTTGCCACATCCTGTAGGAAGCCATGGCGAGCTTCGCGGGCACTTTGCGCACGAACTCCTGGACCGGGCCCGTTCAACGACCGGCCGACCGAGTTCATCGAGTTCGCCGTACGAATCGCCGGTGCCCCCCATCTGCTGAGAAAAAGCAAGCCCAAAATGACTCCTACTTCCTGTGGCTAAAGATTAAAGACAACTAGAGACTAGAATCGCTGTATCATGATTCAATTGGCTTCCAGTTCAACGACCACATCGACCCGAACGAAAACACCGAACGAACGAATTTATGTGTTCACGACCTCGAATGAGGACCTTCCCAAGAGATAGAATACATTGCAGCGTCTTACACCCCATCATTGGCATCATATCTGATTACTCCTGGGTCATATAACTGGATGAATGAAGCAAACATGTTGATGCCTCCAAACCTCCTAGCAGGATATGTTGCAGCGACCTACACTCCAGGCTACTGGAAATTAATCGAATTTGCCTTATTTGCCTGCAGGACTGGAGTACTTCCAATCTTCCCTTGAACCAATCCATAGTTTGCCCGAGTCCTCTAGCATGGAGTTTGGCGTCAGCCGCCTCAGGTTCGTGGCCGCTGATGAAAGAAACCGTTTCAGCTGACACGTGTTGGCACCGAAGAAAACATCCGCCGCCAAACCTGCGGCTCTGGCTTCTGCAATGGAGTATTGAGGAGAACGGGTGAATCTACACACCTTCCGAAAGGCTTCCAATCGATCGAAACAGCAAAGACTTTGGAGCCCCGCCCCTCCGACGTGCTCTGCGCTCCCCCGGGAGCCGCACAAGTTCTGCACTTCCCAGCGTCCTCAGTACGAAGAGACATGACATGTTGGACAATGCTGGTCATGTCGCTATGTACCTGAACCTTCCAAGGGGTACAAGTAGTGTGGGGGATTCCATTGGTGACCCCTTGGAAGGTGCTGGTACCGAACCTCTTCATACACCTAGCACCCAGCGTTTCATCAATGGTCTCGACAGCTGATCCTCGCACTGATCCTCGCACTGCCATGCAAGGACCCAAGTCTTGTGGATGTCTGGGTTGACTAGGCGACTCTTCGCATCTCTTGGCATCTTTGGTCTTTTGGCAAGACTACTTTGAAGGTGAAGCACCCTGTGACCACCTGTGACCCGAACCCCCCCCACCAAAGGACATGGTCGTGCATTACGGTAAAAGCCATAAAATCTGACCACCAGGCCCTGAAAATGAAGAACCCTGTGATGCCGAACCCCCCCAAAAGACACTATGAGAGCGAACATTGAGGTGAACACCATGAAAATTCACAAAATACTCAGTGGGTAGGCGGCGTAGGCACAACTAATGACCCACTCATGCTTCTTGACCCTCGGGTCTGCCTTTAGCTCTTCCATCTCCAGCCAGGTGGCACACCAAGACACCCCGTCGGTGAAAAAGGTCACGTCCGATGAGACAGCGATGAAACAACATTGGGTGGCTGAAAAAAAAACAAAAAACATGGAATTCCAACAACGCATTCCAAACAGACATTCCACCCTTTTCCGAAATCCAAACCATCAAGAAGTGGTTTTGCTCCTCCCAGCTTCCCCCTCAGCTCCCCAGCTCTGGCGAGCGAAATTGAGCCGTGCGGGCCACCTGACGAACCACTCGGCATCGGAGTCTTGGTCTCCAACGACCTATCTTCTCTCAGATCGGGCGAGACCATCAGAGTCCAGAGGCGAGACCTCAGGGGGCACTCTTCAAGGTCACCTTGGTGGAGTTTCGGGTCTATGGAGATGTGAGGTCTGATTTCGTGGGAAGATATGCCCAAATCATCCAAAATCAACTTTGTAACTGGATCGTGTATACGGCGCAAATCACGGCCGCGTCACGTGTCAGGAAAAAGACATGCCCAATTTCAGTGTCGTTTCCCCGAAGACGGCGCCTGTTGCTGTGAAAACGGCGTCTTTGGGCGTCCAAACGTCTTTCACCGTCCATGGATTTGGAGCACATGTTTGCACCACATCCCCAACAAAGTAAACCGCCACGGCAGATTTCGGCGGCAGCAAGCTATCAACCCACACACCTTCCAACTTCCAACATGCAAAAACGTTTCGCCGGGTAGGCCAAAAAAGAAAAGAACATGACTTCCCTCTGAGCAGGTGGATTCCATCGTAGCGTCGTAGCTCGTCTCCACTCAGACGACACCTGCCAATCGTAGCTTGCTTCACCTCTCAGACGACCAGAGGCGCTGACGACACCCGAGTCACCGCCCGAGTCACTGGCGGCTGCCCCAACGACCCTCACCCCAAAGGGGCCTATCCGAAATCCAAAACTGTGGGAACCATGAGTACATGGTACATCTGCAATTTTGCTTGGCAAAGACATTTGCGATAATCCGCTTGCATTGGATTGGGAACCGTGTGAAGAAGAGATGGGAACCATTCACTGCGGCTTCTTCTTGCGGCTCCCATCGCCTCCTTTCATCCCTCGCCTCGCGCTCGATCGCCGAGACATTCCGCATCTGACAGCTGGCCGCCCTCGCGGCGGTGACAGGCCGAACTTTGGTTTGTTCATGGTGACCTGGGATGTTGATGGTTGCTGAAGAGATGCATGATCCAGTTTTAAACAGACATGTCAAAACTCTGGCAAAATCAATTTCTAGACTCTAGACATATAGGTAAATTTGATAAAAGCAAGCTGGGGCCAGCATCCTTCAAAAGCGAAAAACACAAACACCCAAGGTTGGGTGATGTCATCATTTCATGTGGGACCTTCAAACCACTGTTCTTTTGTTCGCACCAAACACAAACACCCAGCAACACACAACGATCACAGACTCGAAAACGTGGCGAACGGAGTCACTCCAGCGTGACGCTCAAGATATAGTTTTTCCTTTTTTTCTTTTTAAATACGGTGCTGTGTTTCCGTTGGGGTTGGTGTGACATGTTTGTTTTGTTTGTTTCGCATCCCAACCCCCCCCGCCTGAAAAGATCTCCGAGGAGGGTCCCGCCAGCTCTTCTGCGAGACCATCGGAGGTAACACAAGAACCGAACCTGTGGTGAAGCTATGGTTGTTGGATGTTGTTGGTGCTGGATGACGACTTGACTCGTTTTTGTGAACATGGGCACGGGTGTAAATTGCGTCAGGTTGTCATGTGGCCTGACTATGGTTGTCAATGTTGCACAAGAAATCCTCACAAATCTCACAAGTGTCCGTCCGGGGCGGTGACCATGAAAGCCTCATGCAACATCTGTGTGCTGAAGTCGATCGCAAAGCTGAAGTGACTGACACGCACAATAATACGCCCAGTTTTGAGATAGAAGAGCTTGGGGTAAATCGCTGGCGCTTGCTTTTGGTACCATACGATGCATACGAGCCGTCACTAGGTGGGCATGCCCGTTCGTGCCCCTCTCGACCCATAAAAGGTTGGGCAAAGCAGCCCAACTAACCGCCCGCTGAACGAAGGGAACCTCCCAACGAAACACCTATAATGGCTTATAATGGCTTATTATCATCTTATATCTGTTCAATGTTCAGTTGTGTGACGTGCGTCATCACTTCCCCTCAAAAACTACTTCCCAGAACTTTCGTAAGCGCAGAAGGTGGAGTGCTCATGATAAATGGTGCACCAATGTCTCTCAGCAGTTCTACCCTGTTTGCCCTTCGTTGTGCAAGCCATGTTGCCCAGCCACATTTGCAACTGGGTCTTCAGAATGTGTGTTGCCCACTTTGTGTCGGAGATCGCCCTCAGATGGCCCTAGGCTACTGAGCTAGTGAATTGAATCCCGCCTTTGGGGTCCCCTACACGGGTCCAGTACGAACTGCGATGGGACGCGACGAAGCAGGTGGCATCCATGGAGCCCACCCCTTCGAGATGAAGAACCGCCTCATGCCATCACCCCACAAGGCCATTGTCCATTTCGAGCCAAAAAAAGGGAAAAAAGAAAAGGATACCACGGGGTGAACAAACAGTCACGGAAGGCCTACAAATTCTCTGTGGGGCTGCCAGCGCTGCCTGGATGCGATGTCTTTTGATGCGTCTTTTCCTGGCTGATGAAAATCTATGAAAATCCCATGTGACGCAAGATCACAATAGAGAAAACCCATGAAACTCCTCAAATTCTCAACCTGAAATCTGAAGTTGGGTGAGGCACTTTCTGTTCACACCCATGTCGTCAGCGACTGTCGAGGGAATGGAGTGTATAGCGGTGGCACGGCATGCATTGATGCAGCCAGAGGCCAACCAGTTGAACGGGTTGGTCACTCTGAAAAGCAAAACAGCACTCCCCACAACAGGTCTTTGGCTGGCTGATCCAAGTCCGTCACATTCGACTCTCGGTGATGAAAAGATTCGGCGACCTCATGAGTCAAACAGGCCGAACAGGCCTCGCCGTTACCGGAAGCACTGCTGGGGCGCGTTGGGTGGTTTCGAGCGCAGAACACGAGTGCATGGGTTGTTTGGTTTTTACCGGTGGACGCGACCATGTATACAAATACATGGTATTACATGGTCTGGAAATGGTTCCATTCGTTGGGGATTCGCTCCTTTTTTCAGCCGGTCCGGTGAAAAAAAGGCACACCCCGAGTCCGACATGACTGTGACCTGCGCCGTCGCTCCGAACGCACGCGGAGAGTGACGAACTCGTGTTTGGCTTTTCGCGACGAACGCGGTGGACCCCGGGAGCTGTACAAGATCCGAGAGAAAGAACGGCGCCTGCATGCACCTGACCGGCATCGGATGCGGACAGAAGAAGCTATCAAATCCAGTGAAGCGAAGCTACCAAACGGACCGCGTGAGCTGAAGAGAACGATCCTCAGGAAAATGTGCACAAACCATGATGTAGCCTCCTGGTAGTTGTTTCTCTAGGTGTTGCAATCTACTGCGAGGATGCTTTGGGAGCACTGAAATCATCCGGTCCTGGGTAAGAGGAAGAAGATGGACATGATATGACCCTTTGAGGGGTTCGGTATGTTCATGGTCATGTGCAGTGTCGCGGTGACCGCGGAGAAAGCAGTGACAGCTGAGACCACTTGCCAGCTGCTTTGGGCATCCATCCCATGGTCAAACAGTACTCTCAAGCTCGGGGCTGCTCCATGCTATTCACCTTCAAAAAAATGTCTGCGTGTGGCCCGACTAAGTAGAGCCAGAACCGAAAGTTGGGGTCTCCTGGAAGAAGCTTCCCTTCAACTCTGGTACTTCAAGTTTGGCATTAACCTGTCACTGAACCTTCCTTGTCTATCCTCACTTCAAAAACCTGACCCGGAAATGTCCACGTGCTGGTTGCTTCGCCAAGAGAAACTACCCAACTACCACACGGGTGTGTATTTGAAATCCGGGAGATCCCCAAGCGATGGGTTTTGGTCTATTTCCCTTCTTCCAGAGGGTCTTTTGGGACGTCTCCCTATTTGAGCTACACACCCACATCACCGCTCATCCGCAGAGTCTTCGTCTTCGTTGCACCTCGGTCACGTGAGAAACGCAACGCGGCGAACGAACGACCGCAAAAGCGGCGCACCGCGGGGAACGTCTCGGGTCCTGAAGTAAGAGACGTCTCGTCTCTTCCCGAAACAAAAACAATGATCGGTCCCTTTTTACATATAAGGAACATCAAGAAAGCTAGGATATCCTATGTTTATCCTATGTTTATCCTATTCTTCCCCTCTTTTATAAGCACCTGTTCAAAATGCAACTGATCTTGACAGAAACACCCCAAAACCGCGGCTATGGTTTTCCATGTGCTTCATTTGGAATGGTGTAGATTTCAGGGCCCTGTTGTTTCTGTCAATCGTCACTTGCGCATGGATAGATATATATATATAATATATATATATAGAGAGAGAGAGAGAGCAAACCCCAAAGTCCAACATTCAAGGCATCTACAACCTGTCCACTGAATACGCACCCCCAACACACAACCACCCCCTAAGCACACTCCTACCCCCAAGCACAGAACCACCCACGCGCCCGTCCGACTCCTCTGGGCGCCCGGGCGAGTGCCACTCGTCCAGGGCGGGTTCGCCCCCGGCGATCTCGAAGCTTTGGAGGCTCAGCTCGTCCAACTGTCGGGACCTCCGCGCTCGATGTGCGCCGGAGGAGGCACACAAGCGTTGTGGGCAGAGCAAACCATAGTGGGAAGTGATAAGAAAGAGCGGAGGGGAAGTGACAGTGGGAAGCGACATTAAAAGCAGTTGGCTTACAAGGACCAGTTATTTAACATATGTTAATATATTTTAGTGTGGGACAGGTTATCACCCTTCAATGATCTCAAGGCGTTTCTTGAGAATAAATCCACTGTAATTGCTCAAACCCCGTTGGAAGGGCGGGAAGCGCTACAGCTCTGGGGCCCTCAGAGTTTGGTATTACAAAGTCCAATTGGGCCGCGGCCGCAGCCAAGAAAATCCCAGGCACCCTCGGGGTGTCTTTCCGCGGATGCGCTGGGTGTCTCGTCCTTCTTCTTTGACTCCTTCTCCTTTCCTGCCTTCTTCTTGGTGTTTGTATTTTGTTCGGTTGGTTCCTCCTCTTTCTCCTCTTCCTTTGTTGCCATCTTCTTAGTCAAAATGTGTGCGTCGCCCCTTCAACCTCCCGTGCACCCTGCCACCTCCTTCTAGGCCCACATGGCGGCACTCAAGATCTTTTGAGTCAACCCCAACCTCCCTCTTGCAAGGCCCACTTCCTATGTGGACCCTGCCACCTCCTTCTAGGCCCACCTTGCAGGAATGGCAGCTTTCAAGATGTGTGAGTCGACCCTTCAACCTCCCTCCAGCCCGCTTCCTATGTGGACCCTGCCAACTGTTTCCTAGACGTCGCTCCAAAACATACGGATGAAACAGGCATTATACACTATCTCTGGGCAAGTTGCCCGTAGCCCGGCCTCCACATATTTAATTGGCGTAGTTTACAGGATGGGTGTGGGATCCTGGGATATTTCAGGTGGTTCTAGTCTTCCACCAACATGGGGAATCACCTCCTGCGCCGTGCAAAATATGCGCCCTGCCTATCCCTGCCTTCTCTATCCCCCGTGCCTGCGGCTGCGCCCAGAGGGCGATTCTGCCTGCAACTGGGCCACCTTCTGCCGGGCCACGTGAAGCCGTTGCTCCACCTGAGGTGTTTCATTGCTGGGGATGCAGATGCGACCCAGGCTCTTGTTGGATGAAACAACCCCCCAAAAAAAGAACTAAAAGAACAGCGCTACTTGCTTTAACTTCCCAACATACCCAAACAGGTCTGCTACAGTAATAGAAACTAATTGGACACCTCACAAACCGACTTTGCCCGAGTACTTTATTTGGGGGAGGCTCGGGCTAGAGGAAAGCTACGGCCAACCCACTGCTTGGTGGCTTGCCACCTTTTTGGAGCACCACGACGCCACCGATCCACCGACCCCTGCGCTTCCCCGCCAACTGGAGCTGCTGGAGCTGCTGATCCACTTTCGACCTCGACACCGGGAACGGCCACGCATGGCCACGCAACGAAGCGAACCAGCCGGAGGGTTATGGTGGGGAGTCGATGGAAACCTCAAGACTCAAGCTGAGGATAGAAGTGATGTGGTAAATGCCTCTTGTACACAGAAAAAAAGATGACCAGAAGATGTCGTCCAGCAACTTAGATATCAGTCTCTTTTCGTCACACTATAGAGGTAGCTGCGGACGTGAGCACGATTCGCGACAAACAAGCAACACACAGTTTAGCCTCCAACCCTGGTGTTAAAGGACTGAGTTTATGCATCCCGCTATGTTGATGGAGAATGATGGAGAAAATCCCAACTCTTCATACGCACGGATTTAATGCTTCTACTATCTTCTACGGCATTCATGGTCCAGCAAGGATATATAGATTTGCCAGGTCACCGGGAGAGTTGAACACTGAAGCCTAAAATCACAAAGCATACACATATGATCACATATGATATCACTGGACCTGCTAGGCCCGGCCCCCTCTCCGGGCCACCCGGCTCGTGCAGTCGACGCCTAGGTAAAACTGAGCTGAAAAGCCAAGACACAGGGGATGAGTTGTGTGTCGCCGCATTGCTTCCTTCGACTCCTGTCCTTTCGGAAGCAAGAATGGATTGCTGTGCTCGCTCTTTTTGTGGAATTAAGGACTACCTGGGACTGTCGAAACCCCAACACGATTCTGGTCGAGAGGAAGGATTTGCATGGTTTGGGTATCTTGGCCCACAGCCATCCTCCACCTGGCCACGCCACGCGGAAATTCCCCGTCCATTCTTAGAATGGGCACTTCTCGTAGAAGGGAGCAGCCCGCTTCACCGAACAGTTCCAGGTACCTGGGTTCGCTCGCCAACGCTCAGGTGAAAACCGCAAGACGCCCCGTCAAAACAATGGCCCACA